GGAATTTTGCGCACCAATCTTCGCACGACGACGAACATTTTTTTGGGAATCAGGGATTTTGTTTTCTTGTTCTTCCGCTGCACATGTGATGTCACCCCCATGATTTCCCAACACAGGGTCCACGGGAGGTCGGTGTCTTTTCGTCCATCTGCGCGATCTTCAGGTGTTAGTTCAGAGATGAAGTCGGCCAGTACCTGGGCTTTGACGACGCTCCTAGGAGAGTATTGAATGTCGAATTCGCCGAGCTCGACCGACCACCGTAACATTCGGCCTGATACGTTGAATTTAGACAGGATCTGTTGCATCGGCTAGTCGGTGACGACTTTGATTGTGTGGGACTGGAAGTACGGGCGTAACTTTCGCACCGTCTTTACCAACGCCAGGGTCAGACTTTCGATCGGGGAGTACCGCACCTCGGCTCCGGCAAGGAAATGGCTGATGTAGTAAACAGGTTACTGCTTTGGCGGTATTTCTCGAACCAGTACCGAGCTGACTGCCCGTGTTGACGCCGCCAGGTAAAGACCGAGGGTTTCTCTAGGCTCAGGGGAAGCGAGTCGGGGTGAGTGGGCAAGATACGCCTTTAGGTTTTCAAAAGCCTCTTCACACTCTAGGGTCCAGGCGAAGTTGTCGGCTTGTCGTAGGGCCCGGAAGAGGGGAAGACACCTGTCACCCGATCTTGATATGAATCTGTTGAGTGCCGCCAACTTCCCGGTGAGGCGCTGCATCTCCTTGATTGAGCGGGACGGGTGCATCTTGGTTATGGCCCGAACCTTCTCTGGGTTGGCATCTATCCCCCTCTGGTGAATGATGAAGCCAAGGAATCTTCCCGAGCTAACCCCGAAAACGCACTTCACGGGGTTTAGGCGCATGTTGAATCTCCTAAGGGTTTGAAAGGTTTCCGTCAAGTCCGTCAGATGCATTTATGCGGTTTTGCTCTTTACAATCATGTCGTCCACATACACCTCCATGTTCCTGCCGATCTGGTGTTTGAACAGCTTGTCGACCATCCTCTGGTAAGTTGCTCCAGCATTTTTTAGATCGAATGGCATTACCTTGTAGCAGTATATCCCTCTGTCGGTAATGAAGGCGGTGTTCTCTTGATCCTTTGGTGCCATTCGGATTTGGTTGTAACCTGAGTATGCGTCCATGAACGTAAGGAGCTCGTAACCAGTTATGGCGTCGACCAACTGATCGATCCTCGGAAGCGGATAGCAGTCTTTGGGGCACGCCCGGTTGAGATTGGTGTAGTCAATGCACATTCGCCAGCTTCCATTTGGTTTTTTAACAAGGACTACATTTGACAACCACTGAGAGTACCTTACTTCAGTAATGAACCCAACTTCTTTTAGCCGGTCGACCTCTTCGCTAATCGCCTTCTGTCGGTCGGAAGCAAACCTCCGGGGTCTTTGCTTTACGGGTTTGGCCTCGGGACTGATGTTGAGCTGGTGTTCGGCCACCGCCTGGTCGATCCCTGGCATTTCCTTGGGTGACCATGCGAAAACATCGGTGTTTTTCCTCAAGAAGTCAATGAGCTGGAGCTGACTTTCCTTGGGTTGGTGCATGCCGATTTTTATAGTTAGACCAGACTGGCTTCCTTTCAAGGGTACCTCGGCGAACTATTCTGGAGGCTCGAGGCGTGTTGGTGGTACAACCTCTTCTCGGGGATCCGGGTCTTGGGTGCGCGCTTTCTTCGGGAGAGTGACCGCGATGAGGTAGCATCTCCTCGACTCCCCTGGATCGCTTCGTGATTCCCCGGTCCCTACCGAGGTGGGAAACTTGATGGCTCGATGGTAGGTCGAGACTACCGCTTTCAGTTTGTTGAGCGTCGGGCGACCTAGGATGGCATTGTAGGCTGAGGGTAAATCGACCACCATAAAGGTAGTCATTATCGTCTTGGTCCTTGGTTCTTCCCCGATGGTGACGGGGAGCGTGGTGGTGCCGAGCGGGGAGATGGAGTCCCCGGTGAATCCCGTGAGCGCCGAGCTCATGGGGCTGAGGTCCTTAGTGGATAAGCCGAGCTTCTTAAAGGCGTCGAGGTACAGCACATTGGCGGAGCTCCCAGTGTCGACCATTACCCTTCTTACCCGAGTGTTGGCGATCTGGATGGAGATCACCAAAGCGTCGTCATGATGGGAGCGCTCCACCTCTTCGGCCCCGAAAGAGATTTCGGGTTCTAGTTTGGGTCGGGGGCGTTTCTCGACCGTGCTCCGGGCATAGGACTTTCTTGCGGTTGAACTGCTGCCACCTGCCGCTGGTCCTCCGAAGATGACGTCAATATGTCTTTCGACGGGTATCATGGGTCGCGGGGTCGCTTCTCGGGGTTCTTTGAGATAGTGACCGAGATACCCCCTTCTAATCAGCTCCTCGATCTGGTTCTGGAGGTCGCGGCAGTCTTCCTTGTCGTGACCATAGTCTCGGTGGAACCTGCAATATTTCGATCGATCTTTGTGAGTAGTTTTTACAGGGTTGGGTGGTCGTAAAAGGCCCTTCTCCCTGATCTGGAGGAAGATCTCGGTACGTGGTGCGTTCAGTGGGAGGGGCGGAGGCCTCGGGAGCTGTGGCTCAGGATGGTCGGGCCTCCGGCGGGGTTGCAACGCGACAGTTGAGGTAATAGCTCGGGTTTGTTCGATCCGTGGCTTTTTCCCGTCCGCGCGTCTTCCCGCCACCAGTGCTTCGCCGGCGACGTACTGGCTAGCCCGCTGGAGCATCTCGGGGATGGTGGCCGGTGGCTTCTCGATTAGCGACCAGAAGAATCTGGAGGGCTTCAGCCCCGTCAAGAATGTCTGCATGATCAAAGAAGGGTGAGCGTCCGGATACCCCCGGATCTCCGTGGCAAAGCGGGTCACAAACTGGGAGAGCGTCTCCTCCTCGTGCTGCGATAGCGCGAGCAGGGTAGCCATAGAGGGCCGAGGTCGCGTGCTGGCAAGGAAATTTTGCTCGAACTCCCTGGCGAACTGGTCAAAGGATGAGATTGAGGATTGGCACAGTTGGTTGAACCACGCGCGTGCTGGGCCCCTAAAGGTAGTTGGGAATGCACGACACATCAACGCGTCAGACGTACCATAGAGGGCCATATGAGCCCTAAACGCGGCAACATGCTCCGCCGGGTCGGAGCCGCCATCATATGTTTCCAAAGCCGGCACCCTAAAGTTGAGGGGGACGGGCTTTTCTTGAATTTCCTGAATAAAAGGGGATCCGCCCGAGCCGCCCTCACTTGACTCGCCCCGCGATTTTTGAAGCTCGCGTCGGAACTCATCCAAGCGGCGGTTAACTCAGGAGAGCTGCACTTTAACGAAGCTGTCTGTCGAGTTAGACGATATGGTGGCCGGCTCGAGGTGGGGTTGTGCGGCTTGGAGGGGCGCGGGCGCATCGCGTGCGAGTGGATCCCTTTGGTCCGTAGCTCCGTCTCGAGTTTCGCCTGTCGCAGCCTGTTCCGTGCTTGGCCCTTGTTGCGTCGAATCGGTTGAGGCATCCGCCAGTCGCATGATTTTGGGGATGAGTGGGGCAAAGGTCTGCATCATCTCCACCATTGCTTGTACCTGTTTAGCGAGGCCGAGGAATGCCTCGGGAGGCACGGCCGGGGGGCCCGCGGCGGGTTCAGGGGGCAACAACCCTGGGTCGTTGAACAGGCGCCAATAGCGATATGGCGTTGACGTCGGGATTTCTTGGTCTTTGTGGGCGGAGGGTTGATCTCCGCGCCTAGTTGGGGGGTGATTGCTTAGTAGTTCCCCTTTGGGGGGGATTCCCGTGGGATGTCATGGCGACATGGCCTCCTTCTAGCGCCAAAATGTTCGTGTAAACACCTTTAAGCCGAGGCCTCGGGGCCAACGCGGCTCGGTTCGGGGGTCCGAATGTCGGGTTCTCGGGCGATCCCTCGGAAAATGTTACGGGAACAACTTTGAGCCGTGGCCTCGGGGCCAACGCGGCCAGGTCCTGGCTCGGTCGCACCGATAGGCCATCGTTTCTCCCGTGGAAGGGGCTCCTCGCCTGAGCCTCTGGTGAGGGGCGCCTCGTCCTCGTACCTGCACACAGGTCGGGTCGGGGTGTTTGACCTGACCCCTCCGACGATCTAGTCAGATGATGTGGAAGGGAGTTTTTTTTAGTCCCAGAAGTCCCCCCTCTCGTTTAGAACTCGGGGGTATTTATAGGGTAGTTTAGTGTTGCCTGATGCGCCTGCCTGCAGGAGGCAGGATCGTACCTCTGATGGCGTCTGACATTGCCATTGATGTTGCGTGGAGAACCCAACTGCCGCAGGGTATGGGCGAGCTTCGGTCGTCATCCTCCTCTGACTTTGCCAAGCGTGCGGGGTCAGACAATGATGAAGTCGTTGTCTGAGAGCGGATGACGTCAGCGCATGTCGAGTCAGCATTATTGCCCTCCTCCTCGGGCAGAGTGGTGCCCAAGTGAGGCCGACATCGTGACACATTATGACGATGTTACACAGGTCGTGTTGCTGTTATTGCTCCTGTCAGGTGGTGTCCTTTCGGTTGACCTGGCTACCGCGAGGCGCGCGTCACCTACGGTAATGCTGTTGGGTTTCCAGTGATTCCCTCATCACGATACATGATGGTGATGTATGATATCTATTTATAAAATATTAAGAATTTAAAATTTTATTTGATATATTTGAGAGTGTCAATTAATTTATTGATAAAAATTTTATATTAGAATCCTATTTTGGCCACTTATATTTACGATATAGATTCAGATGAATGTGTAGAGATGTGGGGACCATTTGTAATTTGCAATGTGAAACGTGTGTTTTTTCCTTTTTTTTGGTTATGTTCCCGGCAATGTGAAACTGTCACAATCCATGAGCTTCTAGAAGATGATGATGCATCTGTCCCAGCGAATCCATAAGTATCATGTGATTTGCAAGGAATGATGGTGTATCTTTTATAAGGTTATATCGAGAGATGGGGCGGTCCGAATCGAAATCATATGGGGTTAAAACTAAATTCGAACCGATTTAAAATCGGAACCGAAATAGTGTGATAGTTTATCCGTTTCAAATCGAACCAATGGTTCAATTCTAGAATCGACGATTTCAGATTTAAAAAAAAGGGGTCGAAGTACCTTTGATTAATCGTTTGAGATTATTTTGAAAATAAATATTTTGATGAATGTGTTTATTTTTGTTTTGATTTTTAGAGTGATTATTGATAAATACACTATTAGATTAGATGAGAATCACATGTTCGATGTATTGTAACAAAAAAAAAAAATTACAAGAGATCATCCGCGATAACGAATAATTGTTCGATGTATCAATTGAACAAACTATCACGGACAAACTTCTTAACAGGATGTTTGATGTAATTTTTATGTATGTCCGTGTCTTTTGATATGTTCATGCTTTGCACAGTATTTAGAGGGACGGTCGAAGGGTTAATAGTCCCATTTTAGTTTGGTTTGGTGGTCATTTTAGGCTTGTAAATAAATATTGTATCATCTGGACACTTGTGAGAGATATTCGGTTTGTAATGGATCATTTTAACCCTTTGTTATGTAACTGTTTAGAGCTTGTAAAGTCTGTTTATAATTTGTATTTGCTATGAAGTGTTTTCTGAAATATTTGCTTATGGATCCCGAGTAAGACGTTTTCTCTAACCCGTTTCTCTTTTGTATGTCCTGAGGGATCATGGGAGATTTTGGGAAAGTTAACCTTTGCAGACGGACACGCAAGGGTACTGTATGATTTAGGCAAAACCAGCTAAGTCCGTGACAGATGGTATCAAAGCAGGACATACACACATAGAAATACTTGGTATGCAAACGTGTGGGACCTAGTGGGGCTACGTTGAGGGCAGCCAGCACGTGCGACTGTTTGGGGGGAAAACGGGCATGAAGATGTAGGGAAAAAGAAGTCGCTCAAAGGAGCGAGCATTTGATATTGATATTCAGAGAAATGACCAACCCTTCGCGCAAGAGGCACCACAAGGACAAGCAAACTGGGAAGAATGTATAACGCACAAAGGTTGGGATGACTAAATTTGAGCTATGGCTCAACGTTGGCAATTATACTTGATGGTGCTTAAGGCAAGCGAGGCGCTTGGTAAAGGATGAGACCATGTAAGATAGAATGTATTGTTCAACGACCGAAAGAGTTGTGCAAAGCTCACAAAGGTGAGGGAATTGCCAACTCGAAGAATTTGGTACTCATGCAAAGGCTTGTATACGAACGATGGATTGTTCGTGACCATCCCAGGTGACCGAATCTCGGGGCCATGAAGCATTGAAACTTTCTCTTTAGCATGAGAAGGATACGTCTGTATAAGGTTGAAGTTTGCAATGAGTTCAGCATATTGCTAGGTCTTGAGGGGTGTAGTGGTGGCTATATTGACATGGAGGCACAATCTAGCAAGTGCGTTTGCGGGAGGAAGAATAATACACAATTTGTTCAGTAAGGCGAAGTAGCAAGAGGAAGGTGGTCTCCGAAACATCCAAAGAGAAGGAAGAGAAGAGAAAACTTGCTCCAATGGGACATATATCTAGGAGGGATATGTCTTGGCTATCGAGAGAGAGAACCATATGCAACGAACCACACATATTGAGGAGGAGTATTTCAAAACAACTTCATAAAGCTCAACGGACCGAGCGAGCGGCGAGGAGTCGTCGCATGATCTCGTTTGAGATAATGCATTGCGAGATCAAGTGGGGAAGTGACTCAAGGCAACACAAATGAAGGCATACTTAGAGTCGATATAGATATCAGATTCAATGGGGGGCTGACCCGTGGAATGGTGGGCGCGAGGGCCACCATCAACTCAATACAAAATAAGAAGCGAAGCAACTTGGGTGTAACTTGGCGAAGTACCCAAGCTACATGAAGTGAGCCGGCATAGAAGATGGAATATGGAGCGGAGGCACAAAGCTTTCCTTGGACAAAGGTCAAGAACATGAACTCTTACAGAGGCAAGAGCGGGATCATGTCGTTCCATGGGTCCCTCATTTTGATGGAGCAGGCTTATCCTGCATAGTGCCAAAGATGAAGGGGGCTTTGAGGCACATGCACTTTATCTCAAAGAAGCATTTGATGGAGGAATTGAGGTGACTTAACTTGCATAGGCGAAGTTGGGTTCAAAAGACCTTGGCACAAGGCAAGAGGATGTCGAGGCAGGTAATCTTGAAGAATATACCACAATGTTACCATTCAAGTTGCCATAAAGAGAATGGTGCACTTTAGAGATTGGGTTGGTAGGGGCAAAGACCCATGATCCAGATAATGGTGCACCAATTTCAATGAAATTGATGGACTTCGGGAGCTACTAAACGATGGACTGTCCTAGAGTGGTGTTTCGTCTAGGTGTGACCTGAGAGCGGGTGGACAAAGGTCGATTGCCAAAGGAGCGAGCACAATTGAAAGTGGAAGAAGCCTTGCGATGTATTGGCAGAGGCCACATATGGAGGGATCACTATTTGAGCTCAAGCCACGAGGATCAGAATGTAATAGAGATGTCACCAAGAGGCGACATGGTGCAGCGAATCGTGATAGAATAGTTTGTGGCAATGCGATACATATGAATATAGTCTTGTGAGGTACTATATCATATGGAGGTATGATCGGGAGCTACTAAGAGCTTCACTTCGGTGAACAACATGACGACAAGAAAGGCTATAGATTCAAGGAGTGAAAGCCATGGTACTGCAGAACCAGGTCTTCCGTACGTGCATCGAATTTTGCATCGGATGAAAGCCTTGGTCATCAGCATATGAGGGTTGTATACCACCGAGGGAAAAGTTCGAATGTAAGTACCGGTGAGTCCCATGGGAGGGACTTGATCATACAGAGGTATGATCAAAGCAGCTGGAGAGTTGGACTGCTCCAAAGCCTATATTTGCTTAAGGGAGCCCGACAAGTCGAATGACAAAGTCGAGTAAGTGAACGTTGCTACTAACGAAGCTAAGGAGAACAGAATTAGTGCAAACCCTGGAACGTGATGGCAGAGGCCATGCATGGGAGTTACAATCTGTCTTTCCATCGACCAAGTGGAACTGCTTGGAGAACGCAGAGGTGTTGAAGTAGGGGGTCAAAAGGGGCGAGGAAGTGATGATGAGTCCAGAGGGACTTATCTATCCAAAACAAAGCATCGGTTAGAATGGAGGTGGACTCGAAAAAGTGCCATAGAGGTAGATATACTAATCGTGAAGAAAAGAAATGTAGATGCGAGGTGATAGATAGTAGGGCCATGGGCTTGGCAGCGCTATGGTACCGTAGAGGCGGGACTTCCGTGAAGTCATCAATCCCTTGCTCTCATGGAGAGAGAGCGCTTGGTCGTGAAAGGGGCTGAGGAGGTGGAGCATGCAGAGGTAAACTCCAAGTACCAAGAAAAGGTTGAAGGACAGAGACCAAGGAACTTCGTAAGATCGGTGTTAACGAGCTTTTCATCAAGATAGTCAAAAGTGAAAGACTTTGGGTCATGCAAGAGTGCACGACCAAGAAACAAAGTAGGCAATACACGGTGTTGTACCTTTGCTACTCAGTGGAGTAGGCGTCAGAGTTGATGGAGAAGATTGTACAATCTCAAAGGTGACCAAAACTATTAGAGACTTACTCCAAGTTGGGGTGAAAACTTCCTGCATTTCAGAAGTTCGATGGCATTGAGAATGTGAATCACAGTGGCTAACTTAATGTAAGGAGTGCAAACACTTCAAGTGCTTCAGAAGTGTGAGCAAAGAGCAGGTGAAGGCCAATAACCAGCTCGATGCATGGAGTATAACCCTCGATGAGGCAGGCGAAGTCAAGTAACCTTTGCCTTCTCAACTCTTAAGAGAATGGGCGAAACCGAGTACCCTAATTCTTTTATCTATCCAGTAAAGGAGCTCTGCACAGGTTCAAAGACCCTTCGAAGATAATGAAAGATAATAGTTATCAAATTCTCACCAATGGTAATCAGTGCAACTAAGAGCAGATTATCCGTTTCATTTCCCAACAGAATGTCAATCGAAAGCGGAAGTGATGAGAATATACTTGGAAGTGACAACTAAGTAAAAGAATGAGCAAATTTTATGGAGGAATGACCCAAAACTTTAAAAAGTTTGTGAGGTGATGCTTATTAAAGCTTCAACAAGCATTTACTCAGTTCAAGAAACATGAGGCATTTGAAAGGCTGGCACAAAGTAAGGATGGTCTTTTCCTTTATCTGAAAGATCCGCATACTAGAGTCAGAGTCATTAGTGAGTTGAAGCAGTATGGTAGATCAAAAGTTCGACAACTCAACAGAGAGCCAAGAGGCACATTGTAGTTGGAGCAGAAGATTGAAGACTCAGCAAAGGCGAAGAGTTGCAGTGTCGGTAAAGGCTTCGACGAGGACGTCGAAGGAATAAGTGGGGGAGAATGTCATAGACACACTTCTAAACAGGATGTTTGATGTAATACTTATGTATGTTCATGTGGTATGTTCATGCTTTGCACAGCATGTAGAGAGATGGTCGAAGGCTTAACAACCCTATTTTAATTGGGTTTAATGGTCGTTTTAGGCTTATAAATAAATGTTGTATCATATAGACACTTGTGAGAGATATTCGGTCTGTAGTGGACCATTTTGACCTTTTGTTGTGCAACCGTTCAGGGCTTGTAAAGTCTATTTATAATTCACATTGGTTATGAAGTGTATTTTGATATGTTTGCTTGTGGATCTCGAGTGATGTGCGTTCTTTAACCCGTTTTCTCTTTTATAGGTCTTAAGGGACAATATGAGGTTTCGGGAAGGCTGACATTTACGGATAGACACGCAAGGGTGCCGCACGACTTTAGCAAAACCAGCTAAATCCGTGACAGAACGATCAAGACATCCAATTTCATATATCATTAGACTCATCACATGTATTAAAATCCATCAAATGACATTAAGATCAAAACTTAGAAATAAAATTATAATTTTTGATATTTTTAATTAAAAATTTAAAAAACCAAATCAAAATTGGAGCCAAATCGCTACTTCGGAACTAAAAACTGATCATTTGATTCCAAAAATTGGACTCCCGAATCACCAATTTCAAAATCGGGGTCTAATAATATATTATCCATTCCTTGTTTTCTCTCTGAACTTTCAGCACGTGAAGAACAACAAGAGAGCATGAAAAACATGCAAGTGATTAGCTTCCGATTGAGGAGGAAGAAAGAAAAAAAAGGAGACGACAGTGACTTGTTGCGACAAAGCCGTTTAGCCTCATGAACTGTTTCATAGTGATCCTATTCGATTTATTCTTTATTATTATACATCTTTTCATTATGATTCTTTATTTGTGATACAAGTGACAGATATATTTCTATTATGTCTTTTTCCTGACGTAAGAAACAAGAAAACTAAACAAAGTCTATTTCCCAACACAGTGATCTTATTCTATTCAGGTGATCTTTCATTTTCATACATCTTTTTTATTATATCTTTTTCTTGATACGAGAGATAAGAAAACCAGAAGTCTATTTCCCTGTTTACTAGTTGATTTGAACATTGAGTCTAAATCTAATTTACTAAATAAGAGACAAGATAACTAAATAAGAGCTCTAATTTTCAACATAAAAACTTGGATCTTTTCGAAATCTCCACTGCAGAAAAGAAATGAAGAAGGCTCAAAACTGGTTCTTAACTTGGTTGCTTAGAAAATAGTCATGATTAACTCATCATCTTCTGTATAAAATAGTAAGCAATATGGATTCAGATCGCTGGTGTATTATTAGGTTTAATTGCGACCTAATCCAAAACACTTTATGGTTAGTGTTTGATTTTGTTAATTAATCACAATCATCAACATTACAATTCTAAAGGGCATATACGATCTTCAATAATAAAATTTTAATGTTTCCTCGAGGAGAAAAACTGTGTGCTTATGATTGTCACTTTAACAAATGAGAGATTTATACGACTTTAAAGACCAAATGAGAGATGTATAAAAAGAATCCACACAAGAATCGATGTGTATAGAATTTGCATAGGCTGACGAGAAGTGTTATGATTAAAAATATTATTTTTTTATTTTTAAATAAATTAATTAGATAGAGTCTTGGAAATAAAGATCTCTTAGTTTAACATGCTAATGAAGATAAATTTCTTAGTAACATAAAAGAATTAAATATAGATGTAGTACATATTAATAAAAGGATCAAAGATTTATATATTTTATTAATATTTAATTCTTACATTGATAAGATGAATACAAATGATGGTTTATCAATCTAAAATGTTAGGCTTGATCATATAAATATTTTCAAATTAAAAATTATAATTAAAAAAGTATATTTAATAATCTTCCTAATCTTACTACTTTTAGTAGTAATGAAGTCTATGAAGATTGTTAGTATGAGAAAACAGTATAACAAAACAAATAAGCAATATTTTAATAGATCACTTCTAAGATGTAAATTTTCCTTAAGACTTATTCATAATAATCTAATAGGCTTATTCAAACTCCATCTTATTTAGGTTTTCATTATATATTTTACTTTATTGATGATGTTACAAGATTCACTTGTATTTATTTTGTGAAGAAAAAAAAATCAAAAGTTTCATTTTTAAATTTTAGTAGTTCAAGTTAATAGTTAAAGTAGTCTTGAAAGAAAAGTTAAAAGATTATGCAATATTTTATTAATATTTAATTCTTACATTGATAAGATGAATACAAATTATGCAGCGACAATGATAAGGAGTTCACTTTTGGTAGATTTTTTTCCTTTTGTGATGAGAATGATATCAAAAGAAAACTTACATATGTAAATACACAACAACAAATTAGTATGGCATAACAAAAAAATTTGACATCTTGTGGGGATTTGTAAGTGTTGATTTGTACAAAAAAATTTATCAAGAACCTTATGAGTAGAAGGTATGATATGTGTAACTTATGTTATTAATCGAGCTTTTATTAGTTCAATCAATTTAAAGTCTCCATATGAGTTCATGTCTAGTGAGAAATAATTAAATATTTCAAACTATTTGATTCATACTATATTAATATACTAGATTCAAAGAGAAGCAAGTACGATGTTAAAGTCAAGAAATATATTTTTATTGGCCTTGATAGAAGGAAAAAAAGGTTAAAAATATATAGATCTATATATACATAGTTATTTGATATCTCGAGATATTCTTATTATTCTCCATAAATAGTTTATTTTAAAAATATCAATTACAACATTAAAAATGATATATGTTCAAAACTTGCGGTTGAGATTTTTTTTTGTTATCTAGTGCTCCCATTGTTATCAAAATAAAATGTGTTGTAAATCATATCATCCTCCCATACATGGACATAATAACGATGGCATTACTTAACTTATATTCCTATATGAGGGTCAACTTCAGCAGAGGATAATTAAATATTTTTATAATTGGATAAGATATATATAATAGAACTAATTAGATTTTGATATTGACCAATAAAAAAGAAGTCCATATTATAGTATAATTTCTTAGGAAATGCTACGAGAAACTCTCATAATAATTATCCTAAACCCTCTGCTCTCGTCTATAAATAGACAGGACCTTTAAGAGCTAAACAACGAATCTCATAGAGGACGAAGAGATTATAGTTTCTCTCTCAACCTCCCTAAACCATTAATCTAAAGACGGTGCCCGGATCGCACAGAGATCCTTTTCAGATGATATCAAAATGTATATATTATAAAAATCGATCTATTGTTATTTGATTTCAATCCTAACATAAAGGTTTTTTCATATTATATATAGCATATTATGTTAATAGATACAATCTTTTAGATAATTGATTATTTCTATTTTTACTAAATATATTGCTCCATTCTCCTACGGATTTCCCTTTTGGAGGGTAATTCTTCAATTGATAAAAGATTAGATCAGGTCAGGTTGTCTAAGCACACATCCAGCTCAAAATGAAATAATATTCATAATATTTTTACTTTAGACTTGGATATTAGCACTCATTCATCAATCTACAGTGACCACAAGTGGATGGGAATGTTGACTAGTTTCTGACGTCCTCAGTGATGCCTATGCAGAGATGAGGAAGATGCAGATCGCGGTACTTGCCACAATTATCTCCTCTGTTGCAAGATGAAGGAAGAAGCATGTTCTTCTCCAAGTCCATGATCCCCATGAGGAAGCGCTGCTGTTAAAGAGGCCACAAAGGATTCCACATGCTTTAATCCATCTTCTGTGGAATTAGCTTCCCCTAACAGCTTAACAATTGCGCTTCCGACGATAACACCATCAGCTCCCCACAATGAAAGCTTAAGCAGCATTTTGCTGGTGTTAATCTCAGAAACAAGGCTTGACAAGAGCAGATCAATTGTGTTACTGACCTGTTTAACATGCTCTGGTTTTGATATGCCAAAGCCAACCGCAACAGGCTTTGCAGTTTTCTGTGAGAACATGGAACAAGATAAACAGGTTATCTGGCTTAGATTTGCACAAGTTTCTTCCTAAAAAGATTATGGAGTAGATAATTAGGACATCCAAGAAACATAAGAGAGGATAGAGAAGGAGCTCACCTCTTTGATTTCCTTGAGAAGAAACTGGACTTGTCTATTCACAGTGTCTCTTACACCAGTAACTCCAGCAGAACTTGCCTGCGTGATCAGGGAGGAGCCAAATCATGTAATAAGATATTAGAATTATCCAGATTCTATATTTTGTTCAACTTGATTATTCTCTCTTTGTCTTGAGTTACATTTTTCTGGGTAATTGATTGAATATATAGAGAATCTCAATGGCAAGCATATAGAAGAGATAAAGCATCAGAAATGATTGACTCATTACCAATGAAATGTCATATATTACATAAATACTTGCAAATAAGAATACTTACGAGGTATATGAATCCTTCGGAAGCATCAGAAATGGCCTTCATTTTCTTTTTTGTGGCAGTAGGTGTAGTGAGCAAAACCTTTGATCGTAAGAAGATATAAAGATCACAAAATCAGAATTTCGCCAAAGGAGAAACTTAGTAATCTATTGTGGCTATAAAGACTACCATATGACTAAGTTGATCATAATTTATAAATCCTAAACATACAGAAGAATCAGGAAATGTGAAGAAAGAAGCGCCTTGATTTCAATACCTCTGATGCCTATGTAATTTATACCTCAAAGATATACTGAATTATAAAGTAGAGGGAACAAAGAGTTTAGCTTGAATAAGCCTACCATATCAACATTTTTCTTGGCAGCTTCTCTCTTCAAATCAGCACTCTCTTCAAATGGAAGGTCTGGCACAATAAGCCCTGCAGAGTACACATTTAATATTTTTCTTACCATATGACAAATATTGTTCTCTTCAGACGGTCAAATGTCTAGTAAGAACATTTGGCTAACAACAAATCTTTGTCCTCTTCATAGAAATATGAAGAAATATTATCTTCCAAGTGTAGAACAATCAAATTTCATATGTCAGGTATATTTTGAAGTTGGAGAGAAGTGAAGCTTGAGCATCTGAACAAGTCATGCATTACCTTTGACACCAGCATCTTCCAATGCAGACAAGAACCATTCACTTCTGCGGGCCAGTATTAGATTGTAATATGAGAACATTACAATCGGACAAGAGATTTGTGGAACCACCTGCATAAATTTGATCACACATTATATTCCTTTTGGAACTTCAAAAGTATGGGATGATCTCTGAAAGAGTTCAAGAAGATTGGACCGTAAGAAACCCAACTGTAATGTGATATTACTGAGCATCCTCATGGTGACATTCTTCGAGATTGTGGGTTAACCATTTAATTACAATGTGTTATGAGGGACAACTGCCTACAAGCTTGTTTGCTGACTCCATTTGAACTTTATAATAACTTACTTGTCAAAGTAATTCGAGGAACTAAGACCGAAACAAACTTTAGATTTTCCAAGTACATATCTTTTTTTCAAAAGCAAGAGAGATTCTTTTATTGAATGGAGGCTTAAGTACCGAAAGGATTACCTGTTAATATGCTGGTTTTTTAATAGGCATTTGAGATGTTCATAGATCAGAAGGTGCTAATGTTGAAACCAATGCAACTCTACTCTAACAATCAGTTGCCGAACCAATGATTTTTTCAAAGTTAAGATTGTCGTAAGATATATTATAGATAGAGCTAACAAAGCAACAGACCTATGCATTAGTGGTAGGATGCTGTCTCTAAGGATGTCTTACCTCCTTTAACATGGAGATGACTGCTTCCATGTTTGTCTTGCCAGCCAAGGCTCTTTTGTTTGATGCCTACAGAAGGGGAAAAAAAGGAACATGAATCTTATCAGATAGAAGCCTTGCTTCTTCTTTCTTTCTCTCTCTCTCTCTTAGGAAAAAAATCAGTGGCAAATATAGATTGACTGGTGATACAAGAAATAATCCGAAAAGAAAAAAATCAAGAACCTGTATCACAGGACCATCCAAAATAGGATTATTGTATGGCAACCCCAACTCGATTATATCAGCACCACAAGAGTCCAGTAGCTTCAGGGCTTTTGCTGTTGTCGATAGATCAGGATCACCAGCAGTGATGTACGGTATAAATGCAACCTAAGCAGAGATAACATATCTTGTTAAAGATGACTAAGTAATCAACAGCTGCTTTTTCTGTAATGTTCATAATTTCTTCGGCAAAAGGAGCAGTGTTGTTGCTTATCCAGCAAAATAGCATTGATATGTGCTCTCAGACAGGGTCAACATCAGAACCTTCCATGAGGGCAATTAAATATAGAGGATGATGAAATACATATAGCCTCAATAGTTCCATATCCTTATGGATAGAGATGTTGCCTTGTCCGATCTAGAGTCACCTGCTTCATATGATGTCAATAGATACAACCTTTTAGATAATTGATTATTTCTATGTTTACTAAATATATTGCTCCATTCTCCTACAGATTTCCCTTTTGGAGGGCAATTCTTCCATAACATTTGCTTGTCATAGGACAAGGTCAGTTCTATCGGTAAAAGGTTAGGTCACATTGAAGAATGAATATTAGAATTAAGCAAGTTTCAGGTCAGGTCAGGTTGTCTAAGCACACATCCAGCTCAAAATGAAGTAATATTCATAATATTACATGCATCCAATTGTTATTTAGACTGAGCTAGCTATGGATTAACCCAAACCAAGTTCCATCACTAATTATATCATAGAAGTTCATGTTGAAGATATACCAAGATGCAAATTCTGTTCATTTAGTCTCCCCTCAGTTTACACAGAAACAAGGAATTGTTCACTGAACTTTGAACCACTTCTACTCGAAGCTAAATCATCTTAGTCAAGAGAAAATCGAAGGAAGAAACTTCAAGAAAAAGATAGCAGCAGATGCGTAACCCGAAGGCAAGAAAGACAAGAGCTCACTCTTCCTTGTCTTCTTAAATCGGAGAAGGTTTCAGAGATTCCCAGCCCCTGAGCTCTCATCCTAAGAGAAGATTTTGGAGGGTGGTTCATCAGAATGGAGTGGAATCTGGGTTTTGCTGAAGAAACATGGAAGCAGCAGGAGTTGGGAGCCGCAGCCACGGTACCGGAAGCCATGACCTTTTAAGCGTCGGAACACAAGGCTCACCTCAACTCTCCCCAAGCAATCCATGGCGTTTTATAGGGCTTCGAAAGAGCTCGACCACCTCGAGATTTACATGCTCAATGTGAATAGAGGAAGGACGAGGTTGGACGCGTCTCAATGCAAATATATATATATATATATATATATATATATATATATATATATATATA